GTTCCGTGCGCCTTGGTGTTTAGTCATACTGGCCACATGACCACGGAAACGTCTTCGGACAGCGCTGGCTCTTCGGCTTTGAAACGGAGATGAGCACCTAGAGTCGGATTCGACTGGCTTTCGAGCAAGGGAACCTTTACCTTTACCTTAGGAGGTGATATGAAAGATCTCTGCCTGCAGGAGTCGCTGCCAGTCTGAGTAAGCAAGACTGACTTTGATGGACCAAGGGTCTGGTTCAGGATTAGGCAGCTTCATGTTCCTGTGTGTTCATGTTCCTGAGCGGACTTTCTTTGGAGGAGAGAGCTGTGGGGATTTGTGGTATTTTTGTTCTATGTGCAAAGAGGCACTCCCTCAGGGCAGCAGATCTTACAGGCCAATGTTTCCCAACCTGTGGGCTGGGACCTACAAGTGGGTCGCGAAGCCTGCAGGAGTGGTTGTGGGCTCTCGTGGCGGCCGTTCCGTTCCCCTCCCCGCCTGGCACCCAGCTGAACACACACTGGGAATCTCCAAGGTGGGGCATAGTGAGCCAGCCAGCCAGCAGTCCCTGGTGACCTAGGCTGAAGCTGCGGCTACGCCTGGAAAGCAGCATCTCCTTATGCTCAGGATGAGGCAGCTTTGTGTGCTCCTTTGTGTTCATGTTCCTGAGCGGATTTTCTTTGGAGGAGAGAGCTGTGGGGATTTGTGGTATTTTTGTTCTATGTGCAAAGAGGCACTCCCTCAGGGCAGCAGATCTTACAGGCCAATGTTTCCCATCCTGTGGGCTGGGACCTACAAGTGGGTCGCGAAGCCTGCAGGAGTGGTTGCGGGCTCTCGTGGCAGCCGTTCCGTTCCCCTCCCCGCCTGGCACCCAGCTGAACACACACTGGGGATCTCTGAGGTGGGGCGTAGTGAGCCAGCCAGCAGTCCCTGGTGACCCAGGCTGAAGCTGCGGCTACGCCTGGAAAGCAGCATCTCTTCTTGCCCAGCCCAGCATCCGGCTCCCTGAATCCCCCTCATGGTTTCCTTTCTTCGGCTGCACTCCTGCCCGCACTCGCCTTTGATGGCAGTGCCACCTGGCTGCCTCTCAGCAGTCACCAAGGGGTGTGTGTGTGGTTTAAAAAGGCGGTTTGTGAGCTGCTTCTGCTGTGGCCTGCTTCAGATGAGCCCTTGCTTGCTCCACTCCTGTGTGGTCCAGCAGCAGCTCCCAGGCTGTGGGTACACGAGGGCACCGGTGGGCTTGCTGGGGGTGGAGGGGGGCCCCATGGGCAATGGTGGTGGAAAGCGCCTTCAACTCACCGCTGAATTATTTTGTTTTGAGATTTTTATTCCGCCCTCTCCAAAGCAGGATCAGGGTAGATCACAAAAACCAAGTTAAAGACTCATTACAATAAAATCACATTAAAATCATTAAAACAATAAAATTATACAGGGTTTATACATAGGGTTTTCAAGGCAAGAGATGTTCAGGGGTGGTTTGCCATTGGCTGCCTCTGTATCATGGCCCTGGTATTCCTTGGAGGTCTCCCATCCAAATACTAGCTAGGGCCGACCGTGGTTAAAAGCGGCGGACTCTAATCTGGAGAACCAGGTTTAATTCCCCACTTCTCCACATGCAGCTAGCTGGGTGGCCTTGGGTCAGTCACAGTTCTCTCAGAGCTCTCTCAGCCCCACCTACCTCACAGGGTGTCTGTTGTTGTGGGGAGGGGAGGAGCTTGTAAGCCACTCTAAGACTCCTCGGGTAGTATAGGTCAGGGCTCATGGACAACAGTGCAGAGACCATATTTTGACAAGTGGGAACTCTATAAGGACTTGCAGGAAGCATCTCATTCTCCCCTCCCCCACCATTCCTGAAAGCCCATGTAGCCTTTCCCTGCTTCCTTTTCTCTTTCTAGGGTTGCCAACCTCCAGGCGGGGCCTGAAGATCTGCTGGAATCACAACAGATCTCCCAACTACAGAGATCACTTCCCCCAGTTAGGGTTGCCAGCTCCAGGCTGGGAAATCCCTGGAGATTTTATTCAGTTATAAACCGCCCTCCCCCAATGGTCTCAGGGTGGTGTACAACATGTACCCAAATCAACCTCAGCAGGGTATAATGCCATGGAGTCCCACCGTCCAAAGCAGCCATTTTCTCTGGGGGATCCACAATCACCCAGTGAGCTTCCACAGCAAGATAGGGATTCGAACCTGGGTCTCCTAGACCCCCGCTCTGAACCTCTAATCGCCATACTGTGAACATAGTTAACTAAGTCTCCTGTGCTGATTCATGAGTACTGATGAGCAACGCTGCCTTTTAAAAGTTGCCACTTCGCTGGGTGAGGTTTGTGATCAGTGTGGTAGGACTGGTGGAGGAAGGGAATGAACTTTTTGTACCTTCCTCTCATAGAAGTCTAATATTTTTCAATCTAGGAAGGATCTCTCCAGTGTGCTCTCCCAGCCTGTAACTCACAAGCTTAACATTCCGGCTTCATTCTCTCTGCCACGCCAGCCATTGACAGAGACAGAATGTGGGGACTCTGGATAGGATGTACTGGTCCGAGCGGATGATCAGAACAAAACAGAAGGTACTTAAAGCTTAGAAACAGTCCGAGCGGATGATCAGAAGAAAACAGAAGGTACTTAAAGCTTAGAAACAGATTTATTTCCCAAAAGGTGAAATGTTCCACTGAAGCTACTGGAATATTGCAGGGGGATTCTAAAACGGTATCGTAAAAGAGAGGAGCTTCAGGTTTGAAATCGGAAACGTTCAGGCGTATGAAAGAGATGCATTAATTCTTGGTCCTGTTGTTGTTTGTTTTAAAATTAAATTTCAAATAGCCAACAAATATATACATCTGGTCAGGACTATTTTTGGGCAGGAACGCACAGGAACGGAGTTCCGGCTGGCTCCCAAGTTGGCCACGCCTAGCAGGAACTCATTAGCATAATAGGCCACACCCAACAGCAGAAACGCATTTGGATTGGCTACAATTAGGGGTGTGTGGCCTAACATGCAAAAGGCCCTGGGTTTTGACAACAAACAAGGTAAAGAGAATAAGAAGCAAAAGGTGGGTGTGGCTGGATGACCACACTTCTGGTAACATGGTGGTGTGGCCTAATATGCGAATGAGCTGTGCTGTCAGGGGTGTGGCCTAATATGCTAATGAGTTCCTGCTGTTGGGTGTGGCCTGTTATGCTAATGAGTTCCTACTGGGCTTTTTCTACAAAAAAAGGCCTGCATCTGGTAGCCTTCAAGGTTCAGCAAGATGCATTTGCTGTGTCTATATTTATAGCTCGTGAAGCTATAATAGGGTTGCCAGGTCCCCTTGTCTCTCCAGCAGGGGGATTTGGTGGGGCGTTCCGGGGATGGGCAGGAGGGGGGGAGGGGGTGTCCCACGGAGGTAGAGGAGTGTCTGGGAGTTCTTTTATAGCTTAATTATCTTAGTGGCTTGTGGGGGCACTGGATGATAATATTGCATACTTTGTTGGCAGGAGTAGATTTCTTTCCTGTTCACCCTTCCTATTTTGTGCTGTTGTCATAATCCCCTGAATTTATTTGTACAAACTCTTGTGGGTCAGCCACGACTCCTAGGATGTTGACTTGGCGCCCATCTTAGAAACAAAGGTATGACTGACAACCTAACAGAGAACCCTAAAGAGACAGTGAAGAAAAGGCCCTTAAGACGTAGTTACTTACACTGATGCCTGCAAAAACCTGCAATTTCCGGCTTAGTGGAAATAGGGATCCACCTGGATGCGGCCTTGACAACTCATTGCTTTTTGATACCCAGTCATCTGTATGTAAGTTGATTGACCGTACCCAAACCCAATCGCCGTTTCCAGCATCCCAGAAATTCCCATCCGGCAGCACCTACGAGTCTGGAATCCAAAGTAAAATCCACTGGCTTTTAATGGCCACTTGTATTCATGAGCAATGCTCCCTCTAAGCTGTGGAGTCTTGTGAGCAAAATTCTACTTTGTGAGCTACTGGCATTAAGATTGTGAGCAAGCAATTTGGCTACTGCATAAATTAGTCTGCTCTGGAGCCATCCTTCCTGAGCAGAGACGAAAATGTGTGAGCTGGAGGCTAAAAAACTGTTAGCTAGCTCACACTAACTCAGCTTAGAGGGAACACTGCTCATGAGTTGATTTGGATACTGCACACTGCTAGGCTTTCTGTGTCTGCCCCTTAAAACTCTCCTACCTGTTGTGTACACAGCCCTTCTGTGCCAAAGGAAAAGAAAGACCCAAGCCTAATGCACCCAGGAAGGTCTCATCCTTGAGCATTCCCTCCCTCTACAATAGCTGGCTGAGTCAAGACCAGTGTTCCCTCTAAGCTGAGTTAGTGTGAGCTAGCTCACAGTCTTTTAGCCTCTGGCTCACACATTTTTGCCTTCCTTTTCAAAAGTAGCTAATTTTTAGTAATTCTGTTTAACCTTTTTCCACGTTGGAAACCACCGCATCACAAATTAACACAATACAATACTATTGTAACCTGGTGCTGCTGATAATTCTTTTATTTTCTGTTGTGAACAAAAAATGCTACAATATATGAGAAAAAAGATATAAAAGTCAAAATTGATACATATAATAATAGCTATAGGCTAAGGTTTAGAAATGAAAATTTCTCCCAACTGCTTTTCTTGTTTATGCACCAGTGTTTAGAAAGCCACAACCATTATTGTTATGATTCACAGTATTGTAACCTGGTGCTGCTGCTAATTCTTTTTATTTTCTGTTGTAAACAAAAAATGCAACAATATATGAGAAAAAAGATATACAAGTCAAAATTGATACATGTAATAATAGCTATAGGCTAAGGTTTAGAAATGAAAATTTCTCCCAACTGCTTTTCTTGTTTATGCACCAGTGTTTAGAAAGTCACAACCATTATTGTTATGATTCACAAAAAGAGATAAGGAAGAAAAAGAGGGGTTACAGTCCAACTAACTCTACTATGAAAATACATGGGCTTGCTTCTGTGTGCACAGCTGACTATCACAAGCTTTTCACAGTGCACTTGCCGCTCAGGAAAAGTAGCATTAACAGGCACCAATCTCTGGAGGAAAGATGGGTGGGCGGGGGGAGAGAAAGAGAAGGCAACAAGAGAAGGCAATAAACTTTCACATGAAATGGAGCAGGAAGGTACAAGTCATCAATTCCATTGCAAACATTCTCCTAGAAATGGCTCAAAACATGGCTTCTTGAAAGGAACATCCACACAGACTGAGACTAAGACTAGGCAAACTAGCCCTTGTATGCATATCAGTGTGAGTTTCAGTTTGGGCACCCTTCAAAGGATCAGTCTAAGGACCCCCCTTCTGGATCATCCAAGAAAAAGATGCATATTTTGGGGACGCTTCATCTTTAGATGAGAAAGGTCCATGTTCTAAGCCCCCACATACAATGTCTCAGAAGAAACAAAACCATCTATCAGAGGGGAAGAACTTCATTTCCCTTATCTAATCTCTATGAGAGCATATCAATGCTTTCAAAAAACAAGTATTTGACCGCAGAGTTTTAGCATTAATTTGGTGTGGTACATTTTTTGTTTGTCATTTATAAAAAAACCCCGTGTTTTGTTAATTTGGATATGTAACCTTGTTTTAATCTGTGGAATCACATGGCATCAGGTGTAATTACAGAAGGTCAAACAATCAAGTCCCACTAAAGCCAAACTTTGAGGGAACTTCACATGTTTACTGTAAAGGAAACTCATCCAGGATATTGGTGCTTACTTCATATTGTAAGTTACTTTTAAAGACTCCAGTGCCCGTTCCTGCATTATATTTTCCCAGTCCTCTGGCAGGTCTGCTGGCTTAGCTTTGTACTTATGTGCAAATTCATGATTGAACTCTTTAAAAACAAACTTCCAGTAATCAGAAGCATTGATACTGGGATCCGGTTGGATGCACCAGTCTGGATAATAGACCTGGTAATCTTTGTATGAATGCCATTTCCTCCTTCAGTTTCTGCACTTTTGAATCGGCACTGGGAAACCACATTAGTAGAACACAAATTGTAAGTAAGCTTTTCTGTTTTCTCCCATCTAAATTGTCCCAGTCCTTCGGGGCGATGGACAGCTGCAAAATGCTCCTTATGGGCACTCCCTCCAGCCTCACAGGGTACTTGGCAGAAGGGGCACTGCTTCCCACAGCCAAACACTCGCTTGAAAATCTCATTCTGGGGCTTCACGGGCAGTTTGGAAAGTTTGGATTTGATACTCAAGACATCGAAATCAGATAGTATTTGTTTTTCCAAATTTGGAAGAAAATTTTCAACACAGAAAGAAAATTGCCCAGGATCAGACATGTTCTTAAATTGTATTCCCACCAGGCTGTCCTTAGAAATTACTAGCTCCTTCTGCATTTCTTTGCAAAATAATTTCAAAAATTCTGATATCATTTGAACACCTTTATGCTTCAAGTTCTCTAGCATGTCCACAATTTTCTTTACTATTACAGAGAGAATGTCCTTCTCCAGGTTCTTCAGAGACTGTTTGTCTGCATAGTGCCCTAGTATTTGTCTCATAATCCAGCTCTTCACAAATTCTTCATAGGATCTAATATATCTCACGTAACTGTTGACATTTCTCTCTTCCAACAGCTCCTTCAGAACTGTAAACTGGAAGAAGCTCCGGCTGGCATATCCCATGGACTGCTTACCATTCAGAATGTCGTCCACTATTGCTATCCCAAGTTTTCTGTTGACATAATCCATCAGGGCAGGATGCAGATAATAGTCACAGAAATTCTTAGCCCTGGTTTGATGGGCATCTTTTTCCAGATAAAGATCTGTGAAAGTGGAGAAATACTGAGGTTTCAGTTTCTCCAGGCATACCTGGGGATCATTTTCATTAATGAAATCTTCATGCAACTTCTGAAATACATGAGCTGCTTCTCCCAAAATGTGAAGCTTCAGGTCCACTTCAAAGGAAGGTGATGTATGATGCTTTTGAACCTCACCCTGCTGAAGCATTTGATTGATGATATGCAAAAGTTCTCCACTATAAGTTTCATGATAATCCCCTCTGGAATTGGCTTTTTCATTAATGGTCTGCATACATTTGGACATCAATGACTTAGCAAGTTTTTCAGCTTTACACAAATGCACCTTTTTAGAAAACATGCTCTTCACACGGTCCAAGAACGAAGGATTTATATACTCTGCTTTCATCTGAAAGGTGTTCATCCTGTAGCTTAACAAACTTTTTGCTGCTTGCACTTTTAGGTTGACTGAGCTTCCACGATGGGACAAGTCCTTCCTCAAACACAATTCAATATCTGAATAGATTTGCTGTCTCTCTAGGGGACCAAGGGATATTTCTGACAATGTTTCTGTCCACATTCTTTCAAACTCTCTTCTCAGCTCTTCATCAGCCAATCGGCGCTCATCTTTCCTGCAACCTTCAAGAAGCCTGTCAACCTTTCCTTCAATTACTTTAAAGAATTCTGCTTGAAGAGTATTAATCTTGCACCGTCCCTTTTTAATATGAATAGCATCGTTACATTTATTGTAAGAATAACTTTCAAGTTCGCGCTTGAGGCTGTTGGTGCTCCTCACAAAATCTTCTCTGTATTCTTCCACCCTATGCAGATTTCCTGCGCCATTTTTGAAGTATTTGTCCAGACCCTCCAAGATCTCTTGTTCTCCATATAACAATTTCTGTTGAAGCTCATTTTGCCAGTTCAAGGAGTCAAGTTCATCAGGGGAAGTGTTCTGTATCAGAGTTTCCTGCTCAGACACCCAGAGGTGCATCTCCCTGCGGAAGCCCCAGTCCCATTCAGAGTATTTTGCAGACAGCTGGTTATAAGCTTCCGCTATGAGGCTGTTTCGGAAGCTGAAGATGAAGTTCTCATGCTTCACGGCATTCCAGAGACTCTTAATCCACTCGATAAATTGAGGGATGTCTTTGGGACTCTTTTTAATGGAACGGTCCCTTAAGAATTGAAACAGGTACTTCTTTAACTCAAAGACCTTTTCACTGTAGCCCCGGTTGACTGAAGCCATAGGTGGGACTCCATGCCACAGGCCTGGAATGTACCAGTTGTGTATTTCTGGGTCATAATCCATGATGTCTGAA